TAGCATTAAACAATCATTTTATTAGGCTCACAGATGCTGTGGGTCTGGAATTCAGTCACAACGCAGAGGTCTTCTACCTCTGCTGGGAAGGTGGAGGTGACTTGATGGCTGGAGGCTAGAATCATCTGATGACTCCTTCACTCAGCTCCCACATGTGGTCTCTCCATGTCTCCTGGGCTTCCTCACAAGATGGCAGCCTAGGGATAGTCCAACTTCTTTCACTGCCGCTCAGGCCTCCAGCAATAGTGTTCCGGTGGATAAGGAGGAGGCTGCACTGCCTTTTTTGTGTGTCTATTTTTTTCACGAGCCAATCAGATTCAACAGGAGGGGACATGGACCTGTTTGTCCCCTGTGAGGGTGGCAAAGTCACATTGTAGAAGAGCACATAGGACAGATGTTATTGTTGCACCTTTCTTTGGAAAATACAATCTTCTACAAAACAAATATCAGAGAAATTGAAGTATATATACGCAATTGAAATTTTCTTCTCTTTTCCTCTCTAGAACCCCCTACTCCAGCTCCAATCTCCAAAATCAGGTTTTCTGCACAGACAGCCTACCAGTAAGTTCATGCAGTTGAGCTCCTGCATGGCTCCAGAAAAACGCCAAAAGCAAAACTCGTTTGCAAGTACATATCCTTGTGCATATTTAAAATATGACATCCTAAACCCTGTGACAAAGAAATTATTTCTTCTATCTTTCCTGCAGGGTAATTTCCAGAATCAGACTGTTTCTTGATCTAAGTTGAAAAACGTAAAGAAGAACATCAGGTCCTAATCGCCATCAACAAATTTCCTCCAGCCAAGAACTCCCAGGTTCCTCTTTGTTCATTTATGTAGGAATTTGGACAAGCTAAAAAAGACAGTTCTTCAACTCAGGATTTCTATTCCATCCAATTGGAATGAATGTCAGGTTTTAAAAGGGGGGAGGATTTCCTTAAAGGCATGTAATATGAGGGGAGGAATATCTCAGGATAAAGAGAATGCTGGATATTTAAATATGTGTTTGTTTATCGAGCAATTTTAAAGAAATTAAAAATGCAATTGGTTATATCTCTTAAATTAGAGATGAGAGCAGGAGGCTGGGGATGTGGAGGTTAGTTGAAAACAGGGCTGTACTGACCTCAGTCTAAACAGAGGAAAAATTAATGGAAGCACCAAAAAAAACATTTGATTATTTTTCTTTAAATGTAAATAATATTTTTGGCCAGTAGAGATTTGAGGACAGGCTAAAACTGCCTTTGCTGCTTTCAGCAAATAAAACCCAGTTCAAGACATAGGGTAGACTCACCACCAATTTAGTCTCATTTCAAAGTCGTATGACTTATTCGAGCCTTCTAGGTCATTTAAACTGGTCTGGGACCTTTGGGTAACTTCTGGAAGGAATGTATATCGACAAATGCCAATAATAATTTTTAAATATCAATCCTCTAGAATAAGCGATGGAGAGGGAGGCATTCTTGAGAAACGATAGAAAGATCAAACTCACTTTATTGGTTTGGAAAGCAGCCTAACTTCGAGTCCACCCCGGGATGCTGATGTAATGTAGTCAAGAGGTCACTCTCGAGCTTCCCTCCGCTCTGTACCATTGCTGTCAGTAAATGAGCCTGTGGAAGACATGAGGGCATCTCTCGTTTATAAGTGCGCCCGTGGTGATCGGGTGGGTCCTTGGCTTCTCTGGGATTTCTCAAGGGACAGCACCACTGGTTAGCTCAGCCAATGGAACGCAAAAGAAGAGTCCAGAGAAAGCTGGTGTCTAGGATGGGAAACTGACTGAGCATCCAGCATGGCCTGCTCTCTGTCTGCCTTCTTTTGGCAGCCCTGGTGACCTGTCCTTCAGCTTGTACTTGAATACCTGTGGAGATGGGGAACTCACTGCCTCCTAAAATGTCCTATTCTGTTAGGAGTCTTTGTTGAGTGGCTCTTCCCAACACTCAGCTGGAATATCAGCCCCCTCCAATCAATGTGGGACAAAATGAAAGAAAGAAAGAAAGAACCAAGCCAAGCTCATTCTCCCCTGCACCCTCTGGTCATGCTGTGCTCCCTAGACCTTTACAGAAGGAGTCCAAGGGAGTAAAGCAGAAGGAGAGCGTTGCCTGGGGTCATTCTCCATGTGGGTGGCTCTCCGCTGAGGCGCCAGAGCTTGCAGGAACAGCACACGGGGACGGGCTTAACCGCACTGTGGCCCAGGGGCTGTGAGTGTAAGATGGGAGGCCTGGAGGCATCAGCCAGCACCATGCTCACTGTAATATGGGAGAATGTGCCTCAGGAGCATGGACCCCGCTGGACATGGAAGGCTTTTCCCTGCACACTGCCGATTTGCTGAGTAGCAGTGAAGTGGAGACTTGAGGGAAGATAGATGTGGCATTCAATTCCTTTTATGTTTCAGGCACGCTTTCAATACTCAGATCACACGGGGCTTTGCAGGCCTCTGTACAGGTGTTGCTCTTACTTTGTAGAAATGCAAGCCATTGCAGAGCCTTGGCCGAAGAGTGTTATGACCTTGATTACATTGTGAGAGGATAATTCTGCTTGCTATTGAATATTCAAATCATGCTCAAGTGCAAAAACGTTGAGAACTACAGCTTTATTCATCCATTTATTTATTCACTCAACAAATATTTACGGAAGATCTACCATGCATCAGGTATTATTTGTCCTCAGAGTTGGGAACAGGGCAGGGAACAAAGCAGACATGTCCTTATCATTTCAAGGTTCAGCATCCACCTGGAGGAAGAAATAATAAACAAATGGTGATGTATTTTATAAGTTAAAACAGAGCAGGCTTGGGAGAAGGAGAGGATGGAGAAGGAGGAGAGCCTTTTTTAAGAAGGTGGTTGGCTATGGAGACACTGGGAGAAGAGCATTTCAACAGCTCCCTTCAGAGGCATTGCAAGTGCAGAAGTCCTGCGGCAGCAACGTGCTGGGCTGTCAAGGACCAGCGGCAAAGAAACCAGTTGTTCTAGAGGAGAGGGATCAAGAGGGAAAATAATGGACAGAAAGACCGAAGAGGGGGTGAGGGGCTTTGGAGGCCTTTGTACAGATGTTTCTCTTACTTTGTTGGATGGAGGCCATTGGAGAGTCTTGGCAGAAGAGTGCTATGACCTGCATTACATTGTGAGAGGATTACTCTATAGGCTACGAGAAAAACTCAGGTTAGGATAGCAAGGAGGAAACAGGAGTCTACTACAATCATCCAGGCCAGAGATAATGATGGTCCAGACGAGGCCAGGCTGGGCCGTCTTCAGCTGCAAGGGTCCATGACCGCGAATATGTCTAGCTGAGCACATTGTCATCTGAATTCAATCAGACTTATCATGAAGAGGAAGGTGAGATCAGATCCAGGCCAGGCAGCTGCAGGGCCCGCCACAGCTCCTATGTGCCCTGGGATCCAGACTTAGTCTTCAACACTATTTTCCACCAAAGGGAATCAGGACCGTAGTTCTCAAATCTTAGGGCAGGAAAAGTATTAATGAGTATGGAAGATGTTGTTAATGACAATAAATAAAAAATAATAGTAAGGTTGCTGTTGAAAGGACAAAGGAGCCACTTTAAAGAGATCCCATCAAACAAATGGAGCGTGAAAAGGGAAATAATAATGAAGGTTACCTGAAACAAGTTGACTTTGTGGAAGACCGTGAATTCATAACAATATTCAAAAGAGGAAAGTTATTATAATGTGTGCAAAAGATTTAAGTGTATTGCTTTTATTAAGTAGAAGAATGTGTTTGTATTTATTTTTTCTGTGAAACCTGTGTCTATTTACAAATTATGGAGTTATATTTCTCACTATCTCTATAGATAAGAAAGAATAAACACGAGGAACTATAACTAAACTAAAATAACCCCTAAAGCTTGGGTACTATATCATGTAACAAGCAGGCGGGAGAGAAGTCAAGCAATTGATTGCTCTTATGATCCTACACAGAAATCAATTAAACAGAGAATCCAATAGAGCGTTCCAAGATGATTAATGAGCCAAATGTTGCACCCATTCCATCTGTCATCCCCTAGTAGACGGAACCTTAAGATGACTCAACTAATCATAATGCAGTATTGATAAGGCATGCGTAAGTTTCCAATTAATATTTATAGAGCAGGCCAATTTATCACAATGTCAGCACAATAGTTTAGGTATTGCCAACCACAAGAAACTTGTAGAAATACATCACTCCTGGGAAAGACACCAAGTTGCAAAAAATTAAATCTTTAAATTTAGATTTTAAAAGGCAGGGGCTTGAAAGCCCTGATGTAACAAATAGAACTTCATTATCAAAAGGAACTCAGCCAGTGATTTGGTTTGGATCACCATAGACTATACAAACTTGTCCTGGATCAGCATCTGCGACATCTTCTCTTCTGAAATGATATGCATATAATTAGTTTGGGGTCTGCTAAGGTTGTCAGTGTATGATAGAATTACTAAAGCCCTATGATGGGGTAAAAAATGAAGCCTTTGGAATACTATAAGTAATGATAAAAACCATTTAGGTGTAGGGAGTAATTGTGTGACCACTTTTACACACGAATCATTGTGATTATGTTTATGTCTTAAAATTACTGGTAGTCAGGATAGCCTAGGTTATGTTGTGATGACAAATGATTCCAAAATCCAAATGACTCGACACAACAAAGATTTACTTCTTTCTTATGCCCCATATTCATCTTAGTTCAGCAACGGGCTCTGCTCCACCAAGTCACTCAGGGACCCAGGCTGACAGAGGCTCCAGAGCCTTGTAGTTACATCATCTGGAACATGTGGTATCTTTTGTCACTGACTGTGGTGGTTTTAAAATGTGTTCACAAATTCTTTATACTTTCCCTTCAAATGTAGAGACCAATTTCCCTCCCTTTAAGTGGACTGTACTTGGTGACTTGCTTTTAATGAACAGAAAGTTGCAATAGTAATGACATGTGATTTCCAAGGCCAGATCATAAAAGGCATTGTGACATCTGCCTTATTCTGTCTTGGATAATTCCTTCTGGGGGAAGCCAGCTGCCATGTTATGAGGACACTCAAGCAGTTCTACAGAAAGGTCACGTGGCAAGGAATGGAGGCCTCCTTCCAACAGTCAGTGAGGAATTGAGACCTCATGCCAACAACCATGTAAGTGAGCCATCATACGAGCAAATCTTCCAGCCTCAGTCAAGCCTTCAGATGACTGCAGCCCTGGCTGCCATCTTGACTGCAACCTCCAGAGAGACCCTGAGCCAGAGCTACCCAACTAATCTGTTTCCAAATTCCTGACCCACAGCAGCAGTGAGATAATACATATTTATTGTTTTAGGCCACTAAATTTTGGGGGTAATTTGTTACATAGCGATAGATGACTAATACATTAAGACAAGACAAAAGACCATTGGAGGGTCTTATTCTGGCAATTTAGTGTTTTGGCTCAGAAGAGGCATATTTAACTTCTGCTCTCAGCCCATTAGCCAGAATTAGCCAAAGGATCATGCCAAATTGCAAGGGCCAGAGAATCTTCCCATGCATGTAGGCAGAGAGGGACTGAGATATGGACAACTACTATAAGCCCTCACTACAAAGCATTTAAGACGTTAAAGAGAATCTTACATATTTGACCTGTGCTTTTAATTAAATGTTTGGAAAGTTTGATTAAATAGGTTTGTAATAATGTACAAATATTAGGAAATTTTTAATTTATCATATTCATAACTATGAAAGATTATATTAGAAATGTATAGTTAGAGAAAATGCTGATTGTTAATATATAAAAATGTTTACTGTTTGTTAAAATCCTAAGCTTAATGACCATTTTATTAAATCCAAGATGCACAAGTATAAATATTCTTCTTGCGCCAACCCCATTGAACTTTAAAGAATCTATCAGCCTAGTGAAGAGGCGGATGAATAAATGTCCTGGCCCTCACAAAGAAAAAAATGGTAGATTCGGAAAGATTAGACACTGCTTCTTACACAGTTTCTAAGTGGAACCATCAAATAGGAGATGGTAATGTCCTTGGGAAAGAAGGTGAGCCAACATGTGGGCTCTTGTTCCCCAAGAGCAAGCCATGACAAACCACCCGCATTTCCTCTTAAGGGGGGCTTCTCTATCGGTTAAATTTTAGCAGAACGTATGCAAAGACCATTTTTTTACCACTGCATTACATGACATATTAATTCATAGCTAAAAGGACACTCAAGGAGTATCAACGTGGCTAGAAATATTAAGATGTGTGTCTGATTTCTCTGTAACTGTCCCTCTCCTGCTAAGTAACTTGGATAACACAGAAGTAAATAACACAAAGCCCAGGAGTGCAGTTACTCTGATGGATCATCAAATCATGATTCAAAATGATCCTGTTAAATTGAGGAATGGTCTGAAGCCAAGTTGAAATAAAGTCTATTCACTGAGAGCCTTTAACTAGTGAACAGGGCCACTTTGGCTCTTTTACCCATTTCTTTTACAACCTGCTTCATGGCCAGTAGAGGAGCCAGAAATCTTCTCTTCCTCTTTCTCTCCTAAGTATAGATGGTCAGGGCTCAGGATTTGTCTTCCAGAGGCACACTGGCTATCTTACAGTGTGTGTATGTGTGTGTGTGTGTGTGAGTGTGTATATGCACACCTGTGTGTGTTTCTAGCTTCTTTACCTTAAAATGAATGAGTGAGTTCCATCAGCCTTACACTATTTCCCAGTTGTCTTCAATTCAGGATGGAGAGAACTGAGGTCACCCCTTGGCCTTGGAGAACCAAAATGAGTTCTCTGTTCCAGTTAAGATCAAAGCCATCTGCCTTTTGTCAATCTTGGGACACATGCCCAACCACTAATAAAGACTTTTCATTTTTATTTTCATCTCTTTTTGTCTACAAACCACTGGACAGAACCCTGGAAGGGAAGAAGGGTAAGTCTTAGGCCTCAATTCCCAATAGCCCCAGATGGAACATAAGCCCAGAGTGTGACGTGGTTGCTGGGAAAACTAATGTTATCTTAGGTGGCATTGCTGAATTGTGCAGAGTCCGGAAGAGAGCAGTGAAATAACCCTTAATTTGGCAATGGTCAGACTATAGGGAAATGGTGCTTGCTTCTGACCTCCACACTAAGAGGAGGTGATACAGAGAGTGGTGATAGGACAGTGAGAAAATGGAGGTCACATGAGGAGTGGTGGAAGAAACTGAGGCTATGTAATCTAGACTGAAAGGAGACACGTCCATGGCCTTAGGCATTTGGAGGGTCATGGGAGAATGGGTGTGGACAGAGCCAGCATTATTTAAGGGGAGAAAACTAATCCTGGGAACTGGCTGCGCTAGGAAGATACACAGGTTCAGCACAAGGAAGAATTTTCCAATCGAACTGTCTCAGCTGGTGTTTTCTGGCTCATGAGGTGGTGAGACTCCATCATTGGTAATGGGCAAGGAAAGGCTTAATAGTCATTTGTTAGGATTGATGCCAAGGACCCTGACTTGGGATAAATTGAACTAGTGGTCTCCAAATTCCTTCCTCACCAAGACTCCATAATCCTGAATCTGGCTAACCCAGAGATAAAAGCTTAGAGGTTAGCCAGAGGTAACTCTTTACCTAACGAAGAAAGCTTTGGTCTATATGGTCAGCATGGTTAATGTTCATCAATATCTAGTTCTCCTCTATCTTCACTTACACAGAGGATTATAAGCGCTATTCCTTTAAATTGGATATGGCCAAGTAACTAGTTCTTACCAAAGACATGTGAATGGAAACGTTGTGTTACTTCTGGGCCAAAGCAATTAACTGCAGATGCTTGACCCTCTGACCCGCTCTTCTTCTGCAAGAGTGAGGAGTGTTGAGAGGGAGAGGCCAAAAGAAGGAGCCATATGAATTGCTAAATATGGAGGAGAGCTGCCCTGAAGGGTCCCCCAGATCTGCAGCAGACTTCATGAGAACCAGAAATCAACTTTTTGTGATAAGCCTCTGAGATTTTTAGGTACTTTGTTACTGCAGCAAAATTTAGCCTACCCTGACTGATACACTTTGGGAACAGAGGGCATGTGAGTTTCCAATAGGAAAGGGACTGGAGAAGCTGGGAGGAGGTCTGGGGACCTAAAACTAAAAGGGAAAGCCATGAGTCAGATCTCCTGGGACTGTAAATTTTCTTGGAGCATCGGAGCATGATATACATTTCTAAAGTTCCCTCTGAGACCCCAAATAGGTCTCCTTAACTGTTAAATGAGAAATACCTGACACGAAACTTTTGGAACCCAGAAGGCATTGGAGAGTGAAGTGAAGTTAAGCCAGGCTTCTGGAGTGGCCACCATGGCTCTGGGCAAAGACCAAAGACTTTCTCCTTTGTGGGAAAAAGCCAACCCCGCTGTGTCTACAAAGAAAGCACACCTACGTCTACACAGCATCTGCTAATTTTACAAACTAGTTGCTTCCAAAGAATCCAAATGAGCCTTATTTTACATAGGCACAAACTGAGGGTTCCAAAACTCATGGGTTCCAATGAGCTTGCAACTGGGTCCTCTGGGCTTCTGTCTTCTCAGCAGGCCATTCAATGGCGATCTCGCAATGGACATACTTCTTCAAAGGAGAGTCCAACAGCTCCCCAGGCCCCATGTCGACAGCCCTGGGCAGGAGAGGAAAGGCTGCTCCTCACAGAAGCTCGGTTTTCAGCAGGCTTACCCTTTGCCCCAAAATAGCTTTGATCACCATGAAGTTTCCGTAAACACTGAGTGAATGAGGAACAAGATGGTTATATTTTTAACCTCATCTGCACTGGTGAGAAATGAGGCGTATACAGTCTTCAGCACAAAGGCTCCCTGAGCTCCCCCACTTCAAACAACTGTCATCTTTCCCTTTAAAGTACAGGCTTAAAATGTTGTGTATTTTGTTGGTTTTTTATCACTTCTCATCACATAATTAAGATTTGATGGTGAAAGTCGCTTATGACTTTCTGATACGGTTCAGTAGAGTTCAAGCTCAGAACGCAGCCTGCCTGCCTTCAAATCCCAGTTCACTGCTTCCACTTTCTGGCTGTGTGGCTCAGGGCAAGTTATTTAACCACCATGTGCTTCAATTTCCTCATCAGTTAAATGGGAATCATAATAGCATCTACCTATTAAGGCAGTTGCGGGATAAAATGTGTTAATGTATGTAAAGCATTTGGAAAATTCCTTGGCATATGGTAAGTATTCAAGAAGTGGTATTTATGTTTTACTAAGTTCTTGACTGGCAGCCAACCATATTCCAAGAACTGTGAACAGTCTCTGTGTGCTCTGATCTAGGGGGGTTTAAAATAAGGTAATTCATGAGCCTCCCCTAAAGGCTCTAAAAGTCTACCAGGAAAAAAAAAATAGACTAAGCAATAATCTGAGGATTATTAGTAAGAAGTTAAGAATGGGCAACAGACAGGAAGCTAACAGCGTCTGCTACAGTCATGGTGTCACATGATCACCTCTGGGTCTCAGAAGGCTGGGAAAAAGAGCTGTTTTAAATGGCCAATGAGACAGAAGCAGGCCTCTGCAGGGGCTTCCTGGCAACTTTTGCTTCCCTAAGTGCTGCACCTTCTTCCTCGGCTCGTCTTCCTCCTCCAGCTCAGAAAACGAGATTGTCTGTTCCCAGTTAGGAAAGGCCACAAGAATTTCAGACACATGGATCCTCACAGTCCCAAGCCTCTGAGCCCGGATCTGGTGTACAAGGGAAAAAACAAAATTTAGTATGTTTATGTTCCTCTTTAGTGGGTTTGTTATTTGTGGCAAAATGCAAACCCTAATGAATAGAGTAATCATGGCTTCTGTGAAAACAGACAAATGTTTCAAAAGTGAAGAAAAGAAGAAACAGAGGATCATGGGAACTCTGGTGTGATCACTGCTCCGTCAATTCCTCTCTTCCAGCGTCCCTTCAAAAACTAGCCGCAGGGCATGGAGCCTGCAGATAGTGTAGAACCTTCCAGAAATGCAAGGCATGGACAGCCTAATACCAAATAATAGCATTGATATCTCGATCTAGTCCCTCAGAAGCCAAAATAATTAAAAGATTTAAGTACAAATACATCAGATAGAGAGAGAGATGAAAAAGCTTATTAAAAAGCAACAAAAATTTAAAAATGTATATATATATACTTAAAGCAAAAAGAAGGTACCACAAAAAGAGAACAATAAACAAGAAAGACTTCTTAGAGATTACAGGTATAATTGCCAAGATAACAAACTCATTAGGCATTCTAGAAAACAGAGAGAGAGAAATCTCACAGAATATAAAGCAAAAGGAAAAAAATATATACATCCAAAATTGGAAGAATGGAAATATCAGAAAGGGACAACGGAGAAGATGGAGGGGAGACAATTACCAGAGAAATAATGCAGAAGAATACATTTTATGAAGAAAAAACAAGCAAGAACAGAGATAAACAGCGCTTTTTCTTGCACCTTCATAATGTCTAAAGCCAAAGAGCTGGTGATAATGCTGATATACTCATGAATAAACTTAGTTAATCCTTTTGAAAATCATTTGACATTAGCAACCACAAGGAAAGTCATTTCCTTTAACCCAAAAATCCCCACGTGTAGAAATTTGTCTGAAAGAAATAATTCCAGAATAAGAAAATTTACACATGCAAAGACGCTCTCTATAATACTAATTATAATAATAAAAAACTAGAAACAACTTAAAATGCTTAATAATAAAGCAATGGGAAAGAAACTCAAAAGAAAAATTCAAGTGGCCGATAAACAGATCATGTTATCCAAGAAGTCTCAATTATTGTGACAGTGAGTTATCAGTTTTGTCCATCAAATATTCAAAATTTTAAAAGAATAATATCCAATGTTGTGGATAAACACAATTTCATGCTCTATTGGTGAGCGTGAGGATGGGCCCAATACTTCTGAAGGATATTTTTAAAAATCTTTAGGATAAAACACATTCATTTCTGCTTCTGCGTGTTTAATATTAGGAAATTATCCAGCAATCATACAAATGCATACCTATGGGGAATTCTATTAATAACATTTATGGTAGCAAAAAACTAGAAATGATGCACATCCTTTAGCAGAGAGCGGGGCCTCTGCGGAGAGCCACGTCCCACAGTAGTACCTCACATGTTCAGCATGTTGCTGTCGCTCTGTGTGGGCTCATGTCATGCTTTATTAAGTTTAAAATTCAAGTGATGAAACAATGTGTCATATATGATCCCATTTGTGTGAATATATATCATATACAAAATGTAAATCTGCATGTTGAAAGTGTTTGGAATTATATATATCTAATTGTAGTAGTTGATATCATAGACTTCTAGAAGTTTTGAGGAATATTTTTCTTTTTAATTCTCAGAATTGGTTGACATCTTCTTTACAATGCATTACCATATTAATCAGAAAAAATTGAACACAGCCCTTTTGTGGAGGGTGGTGGATAAAGAATGCCTCCCCACTGCCAGGATCCCAGCCTCAGTGGTGTAGAGAGCAGAGAACTGAGTCTTCTCAGGTGTGCTTGTCTTAAAGTCATGAGGCCAGCTAGCTACCTGGGCATTTCAGTGCCAGATCAAGACCAGCCATTTGAAGTCTAAGTCATCACTTTTGGAAGATTTCCTCTCACGTTTAACTGTGTTTAAATAACGACCCTGTGTAGGTTCAACTCATTCATTTACTTAGAGGTACTTTTTATAACTGGTTTACCTTGGAGTCTTCATCAGGAAGTCACATAACTTAAAGTGAAACATCCTTTGCTAAGCTTTACTAAGGCTTTTATGACTAACATGAGCATTTAGCAACACCTATTTTAGATTTTCCAGCCTAGAACTATTGCTATAGTGTAAAAATCTTGGGCCTTGAACACGTTCTGTCTATTGATAAAATAAATCCCAATTTGTATCTTCATTCATTAATTCTCCAAATATTCTTTTAATTTGCTTTTGTGCCTGACACTGTTAGGAACTAGAGATACAATAATGTTATGGGTTGAATTATGTCCCACTCAAATTTATAAGTTGATGCCCTAACTCCAAATAACTCAGAATGTGACCTTATTTGGAGATAGGGACTTTACAGAGGTAACCAAATTTAGATGAGGACATTAGAATGGGCCCTAACCCAATCTGACTGGTGTCCTTATAAAGAGGACAAATTTGGAGAGACATGCATACAGGGAAAACGCCATGTGAACATGAAGACAGCCATGTACAAGCCGAGGAGAGAGGTCTGGAACCAACTCTGTCAACATTGTGATTTTGCACTTCTAGCCTCCAGAACTGTGAGACAATACATTTCAGCTCACGGTGCTTTGTTACAGCAGCCCTAGCAAACCAACACAGATGGTGAACAAATCAGGTCTGGGCCTAACCCTTAGGAAGCTTGCTGTGCAGTGGAGGAGAGAGAGTAATCCTATCTGCACATGACGAAAGTTGGCAGAGAGTGGGACAGACAGGATGACTTGTTCTTCAGGCAGGTGTCATGGTCAAACAGCTGTCCAGCTCTCCAGAGATGGAATCTGGGTTTCAGTCTGGCCAAGCATTTGTATGTATCACTTTTTAACTAGAAGGCAATGAAGATAAGCTTCACTCCAGGTATCAGAGAGTAAAGCCTTGAAAACGTCATCACTTCATGCTTAAAAATTAAATTGATCAACAAAATGAAAAAGCAACCTACTGAATGGGAGAAAATATTTGCAAATCATATATCTGACAAGCGGTTAATATCCGCTTATCAATAGCAAAAAACAATGTGATTAAAAATGGACAGAATATCTGAATAGACATTTTTCCAAAGAAGATACATGGATGGCCAACAGGTATATGAAAAGATGCCCAATATCATTAATCATCAGGAAAATGCAAATCAAAACCACAATGAGATATCACCTCACACCTGTTAAAATGGATCTCATCAAAAAGAAAGAAATAACAAGTCCTGGCAAGGATGTGGGGAAAAGGGACCCTTGTGCACTGCCGGTGGGAATGTAACTTGGTGCAGCAACCATGGAAAACAATATAGAGGTTCCTCAAAAAACTAAAAATAGAACTGCCATGTGGTCCAGCAATCCCTCTTCTGGTTCAATCTGAAGAAAATAAAAACACTAACTTAAAAACATATCTGCACCCCCATGTTCACTGCAGCGTCATTTACAATAGCCAAGATATGGAAACAACCTAATTGTCCAGCAATGGATGAATGGATAAAGAAATTGTGGTAGATATACAACAGAATATTTTTCAGCCATAAGAAAGAATGCAATCTTGCCATTGTGACAACATGGATGGACCTTAGGGCATTATGCTAAGTGAAATAAGTTAGACAGGGAAAGATAAATACTGTATGATCTCACTTATAAGTGGAATCTAAAAAAACAAAAACCAAGATACAGAGAACAGATTGGTGGTTGTCAGAGGTGGGGAGTAGGTGGAATGGTGGGAGAAATGGGTGAAGGGGGTCGAAAGGTACAAACTTCCAGTTATAAAATTATTAAGTCCTGAGGATGTAATGTACAGTGACTATAGTTAATAATGTTGTATTTTATGGTCGAAAGTTGCTAAGAGAGTAGATCTTAGAAGTTCTCATTACAAGAAAAAAAAATTTTGTAACTAATTGTGGAGGTGGAAGTTAACTAGACGTGATCATTTTGCAATGTATACAAATATTGAATCATTATGTTGTACACATGAAACTAATATAATGTCAATTATCCCTCAGTAAAAAAAATAATAAATTCAGAAAAATATTACTCCTCAAGGATTGGGTGAAGGATTAAGCCAGAACAGCATGGAAAACATCCTTTGAGCCTCCTCCTCTGGAGCTCCTTTCACACACCTGTACTTCACCGTAGAGCACGAGTGCACATAAAACAAACCCAGAGACAGCTTGGGCAACTCCCAGCGGCTGACTCTGTGAGGATGTTGATAAAGGACGCTGTCCCCTGTCCTGCACAGTGAGTGCTCAGTTAGAGGCCACAGGGACTTAAGCCTCAAGTCTCAGCAGCATAAATTGAAGTTTTCCTCCTAGGTAGATGTCAGGGTTTATTTATATTAAGGACACTGTAAGTCATGTCACGTGATCATGTTTTCCTCTTCTTGTGGGCTGCTTGGAACCTCAGAAACAGCTTTAAGACCTGTTTGGCAAATGTATGGGACCCTCAAGTGCACATTCCATGTTTCATCTTATTTCTAATCATCATCTTCCTCTGAACTCACACCGACTTTTATTTTAACCCACATCAATTTTCATAAAACACTTCCAATAATTGTTTATGTAAAGAGGGGTACGGATATTTAAAATTTAATAGACAATTTCATTGACTCTGGAAACCGCTCAAAGATATTTTGTTCAGTTATTAAAACTGATATAACATCATGGATAATATTTATATTTATTCATATTTAATATTTTGTTTATTTTATTTGATGTTAAGACAAGGAAAGCCCAGGATGGACTTCTCTTTCCAGCTATGTCCCCATCAGCCTTTGATGTGAAACAAACTAGGAGTCGCTCCAGGAGCCCCTGAGAACAACTATGGAACCACTCCAGGGAGCAGATCCAGGCTGCAGCCGGGGGCATTCCCGAGCCCAGAGCAGGGGCATCTGGCAAAATGTCCTCACTCCTACTCCCAAAAGTCTCACATTATTATAGCATCAGGCTCTTCAAAGTCCAGGATCTTATTGTCTAAGTCAGGCCCAGGGACTTGCAAACTAAAAAGACAAGTTAGTTGCCCCCATCACCACCCCAAGATACAATGATGAGACAAAGGCAGGATAACTGCAATAGACACTTCCACCCAGAAGGGGCTGAAATGGAGGCATGCCGCAGTTACTGAAAGCCAGCTGGCTCCTGCCGACCCACTGCCATGGGGTCAGGACCATCCCTGATTAGAAGCTTGATCATCTCCCTGGAAGTGGCTCTTAGTTTGCTGTTCTCACAAGCTCTTGGATCCACTCTCTTTGATGTCCTTCCTTTTCTATAAGCAATAGCCTTGTCTGCAGCTGAGTAGCTTTCTTAGCCTGATCCCTGCCTAGAGATTTTTGGGCACCCAGAGGTCTTTGTGCAAATTTCACAATCTCAGTTCCTGCTATAGCAGTGTGGTCATTTAGATCCCATGAATGAACCCCCTCCTTGAGACAAATACAATAGGTACAATGTAAGAAACACATTTTAAATGTAATGCTGAGCTATGACAGAAGTTGGAAATCCACAGAATGATGTGGAAATATCAGGGGTCAATCCTGGTTCTGTGAGATCTTAAACTCACAAAGTTCAGAGGACCTCTTTAAGAAAAAGAACACTAAATTTAAAAAACAAAATGAGGTTCAGCATCTTGGAAAGAGCTCATGCAAACAAAGAGTCCTAAAACTCATGTTTCATTAGCTACATAGTAAATCTGTTTCTAGAAAGTGGTAAACCTAGAAAAAGTGTATTAAGTGTATTATTTGAGATGATGATAAAGACATTGATAAAGTTTAGACATTCTTAAATATGCATACTGAAATAGCTAAGATAACCATTAATAGAACAGACATAGACTATATAACTTTAAAATAATTAGAGAGAAAACAATGGAATCAGATTTTAAGGCACTCCATCCAAATTAAGGCACAAAAGGAGAAGATAAAAAAGAATGAGACAAATAGAAATTGCGTAGTAAAAATGTAGGCATAAATCCTAATTGCACTAAATATAAATGGACAAAAATCCCCCCTAAAATATGAGGACCATCAGTTTGAGTAAAAAAGAAAAAGCAAATTCAACTATATAATGTTTACATGAGATAACTGTAAAATCTAAAGACACAGAATAATTGAAATAAAAACATGGAATAAAATACATTAGGGAAATAATAACCTTAAAAGAACATTCTAAACTTAAATACTACTAATAGCAGCCTCAAATGTATATAAAGCAAGAATTGCTAGAACAACGAAGAGAACTTGACAAATCCACCTTGTTAATGGAATATTTTAACATAGCATCTCTAAGCAATTGATACAACAAGCAGCTATCACACCTAACAAATGCAGAATATACACTTTTCTCAGATAGGAATCACTTACAAAATTTGACCACATATTGATCATAAAGCTAGTCTCAACAAACTTCAAAAAATTTGTATCATACAGACCACATATTCTGTTTACGACATAATTAAGCTAGAAATAAATAACAAAAATGTTACTTAAAATGTTTTAAAATTATAAAGACATATTTCTAAATAATTCATGGGACAAAAAAGACAGAAAAATGAAAATTAGAAAATATAAATGAATATAATAAAAATACTATGTATTACCTTCATGGTTCTTAAAGGGAAATTTATAGCCTGAAATGATTACAGTAGAAAAGAAGGCTCAAAATTAATGAGTTAAGCATCCAAAATATGAAATTAGAAAAATAACAGCAAAGAATATAAAAGTGAGAAAATAAATATCAGAACAGAGATTAATGACATAAAAACAAATGTAATGAGGATAGGCAAAATTTAAATCAATTATTTGAAAATGTTAATAAAGTAGACAAACATTGGACAAGATTAATGAAGAAAAAGAGGTAAAGTACAACAAAATTGGGAATGGAAAGGAATATAGGAATATAACTAAATATTGCAGAAATTAAACTAATAACAAAGAAATGTTATAAGTAATTTTAGGGCAATAAACAACAAGATAGATACATATCTACAAATATACAACATATTAAAACTGTTTCAAGATGAAAATAGAAAACCTTACTAGTTACTGGAATTCATCCATGAAGGAAACACCAGACCCAAACGGCCTTAGGGCTGATTTCTACCAAATAACAAAGATCAGATAATTCTACCTCACATATATTTTTCCAAAGAATTGAAAAACTGAAAGCACATACTAATTCATTTTATGAGGATATCTTGTGCCTGATACTAAGACCAGATAAGGAACTGCAAGAAAATAAAACTACAGCTCAATTTCCTTTGTAGATAGAAATGAAAAATTCTAGTCAAAATGGTATAAAGAACTTAAAATACTTTAAAGCAAAATGTGTAAAGAATCAGACATCATGACCACTTTGAGATTATCCCAAGAATACAAAATTGGTTTAATTTTTAAAATCAATTAATGTAATTCACCATAGCAGCAGATTAAAGAAGCAAGACCAAATACTCATGTTTGTCTATGCAAAGATCTATTCGATAAAATTCAACTTCCATTCATGATTTAAAAACAAGACAAAACAAAACAAAACTCGTAACAAAGAAACATAGAGGAACTTCTTTAGCTTGATAAAGGGCACCAACAAAACTTACAGCAAATCATACATAAAGGTGTTCAAAGCTTTCCCTCTCAGATCAGAAAGATGACAAGAATGCCTGCTTACACCTTTTCTATTGAGTAATGTACTAAAGGGCTTAGCCAGTGCAATAAGAAGAAAAAAAGAAATAAAAATTGAAGAGATTAGAGAGTAACAATCAAAGCTGTCATTATTTGCAGATGTTAAGACTTTCTACATACAAAACTCAAAAGAACCTAAAATCAATACACAAGAGTCAATTGCATTTCTAAATACCAGGAATATACAATTATAAAATGTAACATAAAAGGAGATACTGGGGCCAGGCTGGTGGCGTAGTGGTTAAGTTCACGTGCTCCACTTCAGCGGCCCAGGGTTCACAGGTTCAGATCCCAGGCGTGGACTTACGCACCACTTATCAAGCCATGCTGTGGCGGTGTCCCATGTAAAGTAGAGGAAGATGGGCACAGATGTTAGCCCAGGGCCAATCTTCCTCAGCAGAAAGAGGAGAATTGGCAACAGATGTTAGCTCAGGGCTAATCTTCCTAACAAACAAACAAACAAAAAATAGAGGTACTATATGGAAAACTATAGAGTAAGGCAAAAGATGATTAAGACAATATTCAGGGTGACCATTGCTCTCAGGGAATAGGTCAAGCGCCATTGGGGAGGGCACAGGGGGGTTTCTAATGCATCTGCAAGGGTCTGTTTCTTAAGCTCAGTGGTAGATTTTATTTTTCTTGTTTCAACTGTATGGACGCTCTTTTTATACTCTTTTTTATGTATGATTTATTTTGCAATTACTTTTTATTATTGAAAAAGCAGCAGATACTCTTTTTATGTAAGATATTATTTATAATTAATTTTATTATTAAAGAAAAAGCAGAGCCAGCCCTGATAATCCAGTGGTTAAAGTTTGGCGTTCCCCCTGCTGCGGCGGCCCAGGTTCGTTTCCCGGTCGTGGAGCCACACCACTCATCTGTCAGTCACCATGCTGTGGTGGCGGCTCACACAGAAGAACTAGAAGGACTTACAAGTAGATATATACAACCATGAACCAGGGCTTTGAGGAAAAAGAAAAAAAAAAAGAGAGAGGAAGATTTGCAACAGATGTTAGCTCAGGAGGAATCCTTCCCTGCAAAAAAAAAAAAAAAAAAATAGAAAGCTAAGCAGCCTGTCTCTGGTACTATTACAACATGTATAGGCATACACATATATGGCAGTGGGGGTGGGGGCTCACA